GAAGCATTAACCAGATACCACATCACTCTTCACATCAACATGGTAACCAATTAATGCTTCAATCGATTACCCAGATACTTAAATGTTTAAAACTTTACATCTCAAGTACCAAAATGAAAGTTTTAAAAGTACATTACTCAAAATAAGAATCAAATTAAAATACATTACTTTTTTCATGTAATTTGTCCTCTTAGAAACACTACAAATTATTTTCTTTTTCCTTTTTTTTCGCCAATTTCTTTTTATTTTCTCCAATCTCTAGAATTCAAAAACACAACATTAATAATTACTGATAGATAACTTGTAATTTAAAAAAAAACATACATCAGAGATATTTTCAGTGAACAATAAACAGTATAAAAAAGTGGTATTTATTTAATGTCGAAAAAAGTGACACGAAGCCGAAATTAGTTAAAAGAAATGATTAGGGTTTTACTAAGTATAATTACCACTGTAATTAAGAATGATTAGAGTGAAGAAGTTGGAATTACAACTTTTGACTAAATTGCCATTCAGACATGTAACATGAAAACCCAAATCATCATTATTCTCCTCTCAAATCTTGATTTTTTTTTTATTTTTATTTTTAAAAAAATAAAGAAATTAATTTTAATTATTTAAAAGTTAATTATTTGCTTATGAAGTTAAGTGATGACAATAATTTGATAAGATGAATCCCACTAAACCAAGGTGTTTATGGGTCCACTTGTCACATACCTGTTGGTGCATCATATCACAACCAGCCTATCATATATATATATATATATATATATATATATATATATATATTTTTTTTTTTTCTAAATAATTTATACGTATTTGTTTCTTTCTTACGACTGTAACAGATTGTTTGTTTACTTCTTAATAGTTTCATTAAGAGGTGAATCTTGTTTAGCAAAAAGCAAGTCTGCCTCCTAATGGTTCTAAAACCGTCTGAATGATTTTGTATTGCGTGCCTCCTTTAACCATTCAACGCCCTAATTTCATTGTAAACAATTATCAAACAATTATATTTCATTTTACACTATATTATGGAGTCTCTTAATCACTCTGCACTAAACCGTTTAGCAACTACCAAAGAGCCCCTAAATCTTTTTTTAATACAGATATATCGTAAAAAATGAAAAAAAATAGTCTTATTTAGCGTATTCTTATTTATCATGTGTTGACAGTTACTGGGCATGTTGGATTTTGAGTATGTATGTATATGTAAAACCCAGATCAAAGAATCCGGATTCTTACAATTGTAGATCTTTTTTATACAGATATATCATAGAAAACGAAAAAACCGTAGTTTTGTTTAGCGTAATTCTTGTTTTTCATGCATTGACGATTATTGGGTATGTCATCTTTTGATTATATGTACGTATATGAAAACCCGAATTAAAGAATTTGGATTCCACCAACGTTGACGATAATATATGTTGCAAATTGACATATATTCGGATTTGTTTCAACGTCTGACATATACAAGTAAAAATGACATTTGAATATCTAAACCAGACATATTTAGTATATTTGATCCAGATGTTGGGTATGGGAGGGGTGAAATATACGCAAACATATCATTTATACCAGATAAGTGGTTGTTTATGTGAAAACTCCTTAGCCTCAAAAAAATTGTCTACCAAAAAGAGTTCGCCAAAAAAGTCGGAACAATTTGTAAGAACGACTCTGATAACCTATCTTCCGGCTCACTGTCTGCCCCCACCATCTACTCTCGAGCGCCCGTATTAATTAGATACGAATACATATACACGTGAAACGGGCATATTCAATTTCTTTGCACAAAGATCCATATCCAATAAAATCCAATACCGTCCATATAAACATTCAAAACGGATGTGAAAATTGATACGATCATATTTTAACGGTTTACAACCTAACGCCTATCGCAACCTAACTTATATAAAAAACACATAAAAACGAACGACAAATTCTTTTGACACGTGGGATATTTATAAAGGAAAAGAAGAGATTTAGGGCATATATTTTTGATAGGGACAAGTTCCATTAGGTAACGGAACCTATAATTGATTAGACTTGAAAACCGTCCACAATGCAACATGTGGCATGTTCGTCGGAAATATGGACATTCATCATGAATGTGTGATTCATGATGGAATAAGACGTACATATTCATCATGATTGAGACGCCCATATTCATCATGAGGAATACTCATCATAAAGAGAAACACATGACATGTTGTAGACGGTTCTTGGGTTCCTAATCAATTTTGGGTTTTTATCGGAGCTTTCCTCTATATCTTATATCTATATACATACATACATACATACATATATATACACACACATACATATATATACACACACATACATATTCATGATGATTGAGACGTCCATATTCATCATGATGAATACTCATCATGAAGAGGAACACAGGACATGTTGTAGGCGGTTTTTGGGTTCCTAATCAATTTTTGGGTTCTTAACGGAGCTTTCCTCTATATCTTATATCTATATCTATATATATACATACATACATACATACATACATACATACATACATACATACATACATACATACATACATACATACATACATACATACATATATACATATACATATATAGGGGCAGGTTCAAATGCGAACCATCCAATTCTTACRAACCGTGTGAACCAAGTTCGACCAATAAGATAATTCCATTTATTTTTAATTAAATTTAAYTGATAAGGTTATTTATGTCATTTTACAAAAAAGTTTGATAATTAAGGAAGTTAGTAATATATTTTATTTAAGGCAAATTTATTAGGAGAAAGTATGAAACATGATAATGTTTTAAGCTTTTATTGTAATATATTATTAAAATCTTTAATTTTAAGAAATTGCAATGGAATGAGGATTCTGGTATCTTGTACAATTAAAAATATGAAGGTGTATGCAATAGATTCATGATAGTTCATGTATCGCAGTAACAGTGCGTGTGAATTTTTTTTTAATGGAGAAGGTGAAAAGATTTCGTTTGATAATAATTAATGAAATCGATTCATGATAGTGAAACGTTTTCATTTTCTTAACAAATTCGAAATCTAATGAACTACTTTCATTGAGATCCATGTGAAAATGTATATGAAGTTGTTGCGTTTAGTTGTTATAATAGTCATGATACTGTTGCATAAATCGTTTTGTTASTTTTKAAATTAACGTATCACGAAATGGGTGCATTATGGAGTAGATTCATTTAAAAGAGTTAATGAAATAGATTGAGGTGAAAAAGTTAATGAAATAGATTCATGTGAAAAGTTAAGAAARTATAGCTAGTTTAATGCACTACTTTCATCGTKWTACATGATGCATTGTATTAGAAGTTGAACCGATCCGTTGTTAGAATGGTCATGAAACGAGTGCATATTGGATTTTGTTCTTTTTGAAATATACGTATAATGAAACGGGTGTATGATGAGATAGATTAAAGTGTAATATATAACGAAATGGTTTCATGTGAAATATGTAATGAAAAAAATTCAAAAAAAATAAAAATTTAATGAAATACATTCATCATGAAAGTGTTTCATTGTGACGAAATAATTTCATTGTAATGCAAGTTTTATTTTTCAAACTTTCACAAAATTATAATGAAAGCAAAAATTGTAGTTATTAAAGTTTAGAGACCAAAATTGTAGTTTACTCTCTGGTTGAGAGCACGTAAATTTCATCTATGAAAAAAAACCCTTGCAAACAAAAATCTTTACAGTCTATACAGACAAGTTAATCCGTTTATCCATACATGACTTAATTGAAAAACCAACCAAACAAACATTTGTTAATGGAAAAACTAAAGAAACATTAATCAAATTTAATGAAAACAAGAAACAATGAATACAAAACAGTTTCATGTTTGGTGGACATACAAAGATGATCATCATCACCATCATCATCATCTTCATCTTGGAGTAGATCCAGCACACAAAAACATAATCCCTCTCTTGGAGTAGATCCGCGTCGACTTCTCCGCCCTCATCTGGATCTGTCCTTTCTGTTTCCAACGAAACCACTTCCCTCATCACTTCTCCGGTATCTCCGAGACCAACGTCCCTGCCGAACTCTACCCTCAWTACACCACCATCGAATACGCTTTCCCCARTTCCGATCTCCACCATGCGCTCCCTCCACCTGTTTATTTATTCGTGCTTGATACGTGTATGATCGAGGAGGAATTGGCGTTTGCTAGATCGGCGTTGCAACAGGCGCTTGAATTCTTGCCGGATAATGCGTTGGTAGGGTTTGTTTCGTTTGGGACGCAGGTTCAGGTTCATGAATTAGGGTATGCTGATATGTCGAAGGTTTATGTGTTTCGTGGGTCGAAAGAGATGACTAAAGAGCAGGTTTTGGATCAGCTAGGATTAGGTGGTGTTGCCGGTGGCCGGAGAGTTGGTGGTGCACCAGGGCAGGGGTTTCAGAAAGGGGTTGTTCAAGGTGGGGGGTTTCCAAATTCTGGGGTTTCTAGGTTCTTATTGCCTGCTTCTGATG